CCCGCTCCCAGCACGTGTGAAAGGGCCCACCAGCTTTCCCAGAGGACCTCTCCAGCCTATGCTGACCTCGAATGCCCCAGCCCTTGCCCCGTTCTCTCTCCTCTCATTCCCTGAGAGCATCTAAAATAATCAAAAGAACTTTACTGAAGCATTTTTTTTTAAAGCAAAACATAAAAATGGGACAATGGTTACACCCAACAAAGTACAGACTTGACTTCTCGATGTCCAAGGTTCTCAGCTGACACCTTCCTCATCCATCCCTTGGAGAAAGCTCAGCTTCAGGTTGGCCCTGCCTTCTTTCTGTGTCTTCTTCCTAATCAGAATATGGTCTCACACTACACTACTCTCCCCTAAATGGGAGGGTTGTCTCTCATGCCTACTGTCTCCCAGCTCCCAGGCAGTCCTGCCCTTACATGCACTCCTTACAGTCACTAGGACAGTTAGGGTTCTGTGGGCACAAAGGAAACCCACTCCAGCTAACTCGGGCAGAAAGGGACTTCGGCGAAAAGCCATCAGCAGCTCATGGAACGGACTTCGAAGCCAGAGAAAAGGACCTGGAAAGAGCCAGAAACCAAGGCAGGAATAGGGGCCGTTAACACTCCCAGAGCAAAAACGACCTGGGTAGGTGGAATAGAACTGCAAACAGTATTAGCATCTTTGTCCCTCTGCTCAATATTCGTACCCACGGAGGGAGCACCTGGTTGGCCAGCTTGCGTGGTGCATGCAACTGGCTGGGGAAGGCCTGGTGACGGACTGCAGATCCACCAATCTGAGCCCAGGAGGAAAGAGGTCAGGGGCTGTTAAGAAGGAAAAATAGACATTTGCTGAGCAGCAAGTGTCCACTACCATGTCCCTGCTAGTCCCACTCTTGTCCCTAACCCGCACAGCCTGGGGGCCCGTGCTCGCCAGCTCAGTGTCCAGGCTGACCCTTATTTTCGGGGATTTCGGACTCCTCTGCTGACTAATCCAGGCTGACTTCTGGGACAAGCTCACACGTGGCTCTCATCAGAGCAGTTCCCTGGTTTCAGCGCACAGGAGAGCAGCAGCCACCACACACCCAAGCGTGACACCCTCCCAGCCCCTCACTGGTTATAGCCACAACCCCCCAATTTCCGTGTGCCAAGAACTGCCTGAGAAGCTGGTTAAAAACATGCTTTGTCGAGCTCCGTCCCCAGACATTCCAACTCCACGGCTCTGGGGTGGAACCCAGTAAATCTGCCTTTTTAACCAGTGTCACTAGAGAGCTCGGACGCAGTGAGAACGGAATCTACGCTCGAGAGACTGGCTGGTCAGGGGTTTCCAAACCCTGCTGGCTGGATCCAGATTTCTTAGGCCCTCCTTCTGGACGTACAGACTGACAGCTGAGTCTATGACTGCACTCCACGCAGTCATAGTATTAAAAACCACACGTGCAGAAACTTCCCACCTACTCAGGAATGGCAGCAGAAATCCTGTGCCCCCAAACTCACTTCTAATCCTCCGCCCCCACGCTGCGGGCTCACTCCACACGCCCGGCGAGCTGACTCATCTCCCTTCAGAAGCCCCTCCGGTTCCCACCCCGCTTGGCGGCTCCCCTAGCCTCCAGCTGCATCAGCTCTGCTCATCCTTAAAGCTCAGTCACCCCCGTACCTTCCTGAACCCACACCGTCTTGCCTTTTTCGGACTCCAGCCCAGACTGTGCATCGTGCTCTCTTGGCCCTAAATTATGAACTCCGAGTAACCTTCACTTAACTCTTAGTCAACACTGGTTTTGTCTTTCCACCTAGATTATCGGCGCTTTGAGAACAGGGACAAACTTTTATGCTTTTTTTCCATTTTGCAGGAGACCTGGCATGGCTACCCAATATTTAGTGGTTACTACCTCAAACCTCTCCTGAAGGCAACTGCACTCAAAATGAATTCCCTCGGGGCACCTGGGTGGCTCAGTGGGTTAAGCCTCTGCCTTCAGCTCAGGTCATGATCCCAGGGTCCTGGGATGGAGCCCTGCTGTTCAGGAGAAAGCCTGCTTCTCCCTTTCCCTCTGCCTACTGCTCTGCCTACTTGTGCTCTATCTCTATCAAATAAATAAATAAAATCTTAAAAAAAAAAAAAGAATAAAAAAAATAAAATTCCCTCTAGTCCATAACTTAACACGGAGTTTCTGGCCTAACACCCAGATTCCAAAAACTGCTAACTCAATGGAGAACTGCCTTACGTTAGGCTGAACCACATGAAATTTCCAGCATCCCATTTTTTCAAATATTTTAATATTTCAACATAGAACAATGGCGATTTCATGGGGCTTAACCAAATCTATCCAACTCATTGTGGCAAACACGTCTGCCCAGTTGTGTCTGCTAAAAAACAGCAGAATGGGGTGGTGACATGTGGCAATTGGCCCCACTGGCCATCCTCAGGCCACATGAGTCACACAAATGACAGAATATGGAGGAAAGTATCACAGATCTGAGCTGGTCCTAAGTATCGAGATAAAGTTCCCATTCTTGCCCCGAAATGTCTTTTGGATTCTCTTCTTATCGTAACTGTTTAACATCTTATAAATGACCTGAACTCCATCTGGGAAGGCAGGAAGTGAGTGCTGGGCTGGAACCCCGTAAAGGGAAGAGCCTGCAAACAAGGGGCCGGGGGGGGGCCGGGGCGGGGGGGGCTCGGCCCTCAGGCAGCGAGGAGGGGTGGCTGTCAAAAGAGCAGAACAAGGCCTGTGTGAGGGGTGCGGGCTCCTAATTCCCCATGGAACATATAAAACATAACATACTTTCATACCCACATCTGTTCAGGCAATCAGATTACAGAAAAGGTGTTGAGTAAGGAATTGACTCATTTTAATTTCCTAAAATAGCCACAAGTACCAAGACTTTAGGTTCTGGGTTTCCCCCAAGGAAACAATCCAGGCTGGACCCTGTGTGTTCAACACGAGCCTCTGACTGGACCCACTGACAGCGCACTCGGGTGACCAAGCTTCCAACGCTCCATGCATTTATTTTGGGGCTTTGACCAGTGAACTCCGGCGGTTGCCCACACTCCCGGCCTGTGATGGGCTACGACCGTGAGCCGGGATGTTTACGGTGTTTCAAAGATAACGTGAGGGAAGCGGACTCAGCAAACGCACGAATCCACTCCGGAGCCAGACCGCCTGGCTTGAAGGAGGCTCCACTGTTTCTGAGCTGGGTGTGACCTTGGGCAAAGCCTCTCGTTCCTTCCACGCATGTTTGGGGAGCATCGGCTACACCCACATGCTGGCCGGGGCGCTGGGGATTAGCGAGGAACAAGGCTGTCATGATGCTGACGGACCCTATCTCCTCTCCAGTCCCTCACGTGGAAGCCAGCAGCAGCGACAGTCCCCCACAGCCTGCTGAACCCACAGCCTCTGCCCCACGCTGGGCGAGCACCGGATGCTCCCACGGCCACAGCCCCAGCACCAGCACCAGCACGGTGTAAACTAAACCCCATGTCATCACCAGAACCAATCTGAGATCAAAATAAGCCCCCAGATGGGGCCTGTGTCTTACCCAAAAAACTATTTAAGAAATTCAGTGAGAAAACGGAGCACTAGGAAGACTATTACAGAAAGACAGAAAACTATTTCCCACAGAAGGTTAAATAAAAAAATGTTTCTACAACATTCTATTATTAATAACAGCAGCAGCAGACACTGTATAGAGCACTTACTATGTACCGGGCATTGTTTTGAGCTCCTCATATTTATAAATAAGCGAATGATCCCCAAACCCTTGAGGTATGTGTCGTCACTCTCCTTGTTTTACAACAGATGAAAGCGGGACCAGAGATGCTTAGTCATCTGCCCAAGGTCATCCAGCCAGTAGTTGGCCGAGGCAGGACTCAAGGCCTGGCTGGGGTGGGTGTTCCTGACGCACCTGCCAGCTACGGCCTCAGCGGGGGCAGTGTTCTGTGCAGCGGCTGGATGGGTGCTGTGGCAACAGAGGAGGGGAGGAGGCCTGGCAGCTGCTCCCCTCAAGGGACGCTCTAGTAAAAGTGTTTGCACAGCGTCTCCACTCCTAGGCGTACATCCAAGCACACCGCAGACCTCCGTCCATGCAGACTTGAATGCTAACGTTCCCTTCAGTGGGATTCAGTCACCACAAGGTGGAAACCGTGCTAATGTGTGTCAGCTGAGGAGCGGATACATGGGGAATGAGGTATGTCCTTGCGATGGAACGTTATTTGGCAATGAAAAGGGAGGACGGACGCGTGCGACTACTGAAGCATGGGTGAAGTTTAAACCACCACGGGAAGTGAAAGACACGTGTTACAACAAATCCAGAATAAATCCATAGACACGAACTACATCAGTGGCCGCCAAAGGGCAGGGGAACGGGGAGTGGCTGCTTGTGGCTGGGGGCACTTCTCTGAGGGCAATGAAAATGTTCTGGAATCAGACAGTGGTTGACAATCCTGTGAATAAACTCAAACTCGGTGAACCGTACACTTTCATGCTGTGTGGATTTTATGCCGTGTGGATTGTATTTTTTAAAAAGAATATAAGAATAACGCGTCCTCTGTGAAAACCTCCAGAAGGAAAGGGCGGATTCGCCTGTCTACTGTGGCAAATACAATGACGTTACCACTATGACTGGGCTCTCAACTCCTTCTCTTATTAGTTTCTCAAATCTCACTATGTTAACTTTCGCACATCAATAAAAAAACAGCTAGAAAAATAAATAAAAAAATAAAAAAACAGCTGGGAACTCCTAAAAACACACAACTTTAAAATAAATATTACTTCATTCATGACAATACATTAGGTTTTGATAAATGCTGCAATAACATTCAATCCAATGAGAAAGAAAAAACACGATGACATTTTATTAATATGACATTTTCCTTCAAAGTGCATTTCACTTCCGGCTTCCATTCAGCTTCCTGCCATGCCCACCATGGCTTCATCCCGGCCAAGAGCCACCCGGCCTCTGACACATGCTGCCAGATGAGGTCACTGCTCTGTGTTCCAGCTTCCTCTCCTTGAAATGGGGAGGGCAGAAAGCACTTGCGTTTGCTCTTGTTTTGTTTGTGGACAAAGACGTAGGCAAAAGCACAAGACAAGTGCTGTCTCGAAGCCCAGAACTCACCGTTCAGTCTGAGTGTTGATACGGATAAGAAGGAACTGACACCTAAAACGGGGGAAAGTCATGGTGGGGACGCTGGTCATCAGGAAGCTGGGGTCCAGGACCACAAAATGACTAAAAGCACACGACAGAAGAGAAAGCTCAGCTACACTGAATTTAATATTCTAATTTTTATGTTAACATGAAACAAACATGCTTCCTTTTTTTGGGCTTTTCACTTGAGAACACCATGTCTGGACTTCAAGGTGTTGGCGTATCCCCCAGGCCTGCCCAGTGCTGGGGGTGAGCGTTCCAGGGTGAACACGGTTTGAACTTCTTCATGTTAAGAGGGTGTCTGAAATTCAGAACCAGGCAGATCCAACTACTCTGACCTAAAACACGAGGGGAACTTTTGAAGTGTGTCCATATTCAAGTGGGGGTCAAAGGAGCCCAACTACAAGAACTGTGAGTGAGGCAGTGACAAGTGGGACCGAACCAAAGTTCTTTCGGAAAGGGCTATATTGGAGACTGTAATTCCGACTCTGGAGGAACCAAGGTGGCTGGGAGTGGAAGGACTCACATGTGAAATTCCTTACATAAAAATGTACTGATTTTAAGACGAAAGAAACAAACAAAGCAGGGATGGCAGGAAGCGGGCTTACCTCACGAGACTGGAGGGTTACACACAAATGTGTGTTTGTAAAGCACTCAGAACAGTGCTGGGAACGTCGCAAAGGCTTTACACACGTTCCGTATTATTAGCGGAGCAGGAGGCGGCTCTAGACATAACAGGTCTGCAGCAGATACTCCAGAGACCTGAGCGAGGGAGCCTGGAACCCCGACTGCAGTCAGCTCTTAAAATGCACAGAATGTGTAAGTCCGCTCAAAAACACAAGCGAGATGACCCGATAAGGTTACTTAGACAACACTAAATGTCCCACTCCCGAGGAGAACTGAACACAATAACCATTACGGTAGCCAAGGCAGGTCGGTGTATAAATATATACACGACACCCACCCCCCCAAAACCTACGTAGTTACAGAGAAAACCAATCGCAATGTTGAAACAGTTTTAAATCTGGGGGAAAAAAATGAAACAAACCACCCCAGCTGGCAGACAAACGCTGTGTGTGTTCACAGCACAGAGCGCTTCCTCTCCAGGCCATCTCATTGGGTTTCTCTGTAAAAACCAATAAACAGGTAAAACTGATTGGTCTGTCTCCCCCACTGACTCGAGTAGTGCAAACTGGTGCTTGGGTTATGTTCCTGAGGATGGGATGTGGCACTCGAACAGAGTGTGAGGAACACGTTCATTGTAAAAACCGCTCTTCAGAAATGACCACACATTCACTTCCCTGATTTTAACCACAGTAACATTAATGTATGATAGACTTATATGAGCTCGCTGAATCATCCTTATCTGTCCCTAGGCAAAGAGAGCTCCTTCTTTAATATGAGAAACGGTGTTCAGGAAAAATATCCTGCAAAAACTAGTCTTTAAAAAAATTACCGTCACAATGTCAGTTTTGACTCTGAGGCCAAGACAGGGTAAAGCAGCACTTTCCCCCCCAGCTAAGGGAGCTACTGCGGTCACTGTGTAGAAGCAGGCACAGTTCTGATCTGGAAAGTGCTTTTAAATGTTATAAACCAGAAAACCTCCAAAGCAATCCCAGAGACTCGTCTCTTATAAATACTCAGGTTACAATCTTGCGAAGCAACTCACGTTAAAATTTTATTACGAGTAAAAACCTAAGCCAAAAGGATTTCTCTACAAATACAGCTCTGTTTTTCAGCTCAGTCTTTCCCGGTACCTGACGTCTGGGTGACGCAAGGACACTCACGAGCCAGCAGCACCAGGGAACAGGTCAGAAAGGCAGATCCAGAAGTCCCCCTCAACCCCCATTCCCAGATCTGCACTGTAATACGAGCCTCAGGGGCTCTGTGTGCACGCCAGTTTGAGATACCTTTGTCTACGTGTTCTCTATGTGGTCACATCAAGGAACACGATGATGAGATAAATATTTTGCTTTTCAGCAAGGACAGGCTTTTTTTCAGCTACTCCAACTATTAAAATCCAAAGAAAAAAGTGTCGTACACAGAAGCCACAAACCCCTCTCAGCTATCACGTTTTCAGAAAAGCTCAGATAAAATCTGAACGGGACACGTGAGATGCTTTGCACATAGTCCGTATTTGTCAACCGTGAGACGAAAGCCCCATTCGTACCTGCGAATCGCAGAGGTGCGTCTTTATCGAGGGCAATCAGTGGAGGGTCGAGGAGCACCGCGTTATCGTTTTCTGTGATTATGCCATGATAGGTGGGCTCGAGCCACGGTTTGTGCTTGTTAGCTGTGTATTAAAAAGAGAAAAAGAAGAAACGGAAAAGACCAGGTCAGAATCATTACTTTAAACTCCATTGCTTTCAAAGACACACATCTGTTACTAAAATAATAAAAGACTTAGGAGTCTGGAAGGCAACACTTGTTTTTTGTTTTTTTTATATTTTATTTATTTGAGAGAGAGTGAGAGAGAGCACACGAGCAGGGGGCATGGGCAGAGGGAGATGGAGAAGCAGACTCCCAGCTGAGCAGGGAGCCATGTCGAGCCAATTCTAGGACCCCGAGATCATGACCTGAGCTGAAGGCAGATGTTTAACCAACTGAGCCACCCAGACACTTGTATGAAGACCCTAATGGAATGAAATTCTGAATTCCAGAGTAAGTAATGTAGAAACCCAATCTATGAAGTAATGAGAATTAAGAAATAAACTACTCTAGAAATTAAAAGACTGATGGCTATAGACAAACTATCCGTTTTTAACCGGCATAGGAAAGTTTCAAAGAAAAATATACTATCACTTCTTTAGAGCAACAATAATATATTACCTAATTTTAAAACGAGCATTACAAATAAAAATTTAAAAGAAAATTTATGAATATAAAATTACATATATAGAATATAAATATAACTAAACACAAGATTTCTGAAAAACTTGCCTGTAAACAGTGTTTACAAACAAACCACTTTGAGGGTCAGGCAGTGTCAAGGTCAGATTCCAGCTCCCTTCTATTACTGGCTGCGTGACCTTGAGCACAGAAATGTCCCCTTCATCTCAGTCTCATCTGTACACCAGGGACACGCGCACAACCCGCGAGGCTGGGGCAGATTCCCGGAGGAGCGACCTGTGTCCTTGCTGGCTGGGCACTGGCACTGATGCTTTCTTTGTTCCTAAGGTAAGAACTGCCACGCTGCCCCCCGCCCCCCGCTCCCCCGAAGAAATCTGTTTTTTTCCTCTCCGTTTTGCCTGGGGCTCGGCTCCTGGGGGGCCTGGGCAAGACCTTCTCCCGCTCAGAGCCAGGGCCCTCTCTGAGTCTCCGTTTCCCCCAGCACGGTCTCGGCGGCCCAAACCCTTCCCTTTCTTTTTGCCTTCACCTAAGGAGGCTCACGTTATAACCTCAGCGTGTGTATGCACCAAGGAGCGCCCCAGTTGAGACCGTCTAAACAGAAGGAATGGTAGGAAGCTTTATTTCCTATTTGTGGAATAAATTCCTTGGTTCTTTCCCACGAGTCCACCTTCAGAAGGAGCTAAAATGAAGTTTCATTATGGAGCCATGATGGGATCCTACGTGTCTGCGGTCGTGGGACGACCACCACGTGACGACGGGAGACTGGGCTTCGCCTGCATTTACCCCGACGAGGCGCACGGGGGGGTGGAGCCCGTGTGCCATCCGACACGCGTGTGGAAGCACCTACCATCCTGCTAACTGACAGCACGTTACCAGACACTTACGTACCCCTTTTCTAAACCAAGAGCAAATCCCATTGTCTTCACTTTCAAACCCAGACCCATGGGAGTTGTTGGTTCACGGGTACAGGGTTTGGGTTTTGCAACTTGAAAACCATTCCAGGATGGGCCGCAGGGCTTCGGGAATGCATGTGCTTGGCTCAGCGTGCACGTGCAATGGGAGGTTTTACGGGTGTGTCACTGCAATTAAAGAAACAAATCCACACACACAATCAATCCAGGCCGAGCCACTTCTCATTGTCTGTGCTGCTCACCTGGACTGTTTACAAAATCTAACCAACCTCATCCGTGCCCCCCCGCGTGGGACCCTCACACGGCACCCAGAGGGACGCTGCTCCACCTCTGCTCTCGAGCCCACAGACACCGTCTTACCGAGGATCCCACATGGCTTTTGTTCATGGAGGATCTATTATCTGGCGACCTAATCAGCATTTACTGAGCGGGGGATCAAAATCAGGAAATACTGTCCTATGTATCAATTCATTTTTAAAAACAATAAACCTATTACATATTAATATAAATAACGGTTTTGTGGAAGTAACTGTACTTTTTAAAAAACAGAGTTTACAAAAGAAGAGCGGCGATGCGTTACATGTTTGCAGATCTTTCTATGGCCAGCTGAGTCCTCGCTTCTCCCAGCTAGCCCGCTGCACGGTCGCAGGTCTTGCAGCCTCTAGAGAGCTCCAGCAGGCACGCAAGAGAGGAGGAGGACAAGGCAAGTAACGTCTTACCGTTACTAAAACAGCTCTGACCTCTTCAGACCCGACAGGGTCTCAGGGGACCCATTACCTCAGGTCTCTGTTGGAACCTTCCCTCCTTCAACTACAGCACCTGCTGCTCTGGTCACCACTTCCTCTTTTCCTTTTCTTCTGCTACTCCTTGCCACACTGTCAGGCAAAGGGCAGCGGTGCCAGTCTGGGGCCTCAGCGCAGGTTACCCAGCTTCCTCCGTGGGCCTCAGTTTCCTCATCCATAAACTGAGGACAGCAGTAGTACCCATCTGATGGGCTGGTTTGGTGAAATGCTCAGGATAGAGTCTGACGCTTAGTAAATGGCATTAGGTGTTGCTAGGACTTCTCTTCCTCCACTCATATGGGAACAAAAACACAGATTCCACGAGAGGGAGACCTCTTGTTCGTTAATTCCCAGCACCTAGCACTGTGTCGTTACTCAGGATTACTGGGTAGATGGATGAGTATATAAGGCATCTCATGTCCAGTACAATTAAGTCAGTGTTCTGGTTTGTAAATTCTCTCAGGGGAAGATAATTTTGGTACTGAGAACCAAAAAACAGGTATGATTTTTTTTTTTAAGATTTTATTCATTTATTTGATAGAGATACAGTGAGAGAGGGAACACAAGCAGGGGGAGTAGGAGAGGGAGAAGCGGGCTTCCTGCCGGGCAGGGGGCCCAATGCGGGGCTCAATCCCAGGACCCTAGGATCATGACCCGAGCCAAAGGCAGACACTTAACGACAGCCACCCAGGCACTCCTGATTTGGTGTTTTCAGTATTGGGGAGGTGCTTTTTGCTTTTTTGTTTCTGGCAGGTGGATGTTTGTTCCAAGTAAAGGAGACTAGAGAATCTGGAGGCACAGAATACATAAAAATATTGTGGGAATCTGCCTGGAAAGGGAAGCTGTGGTTAGATTATAAGGAGGTGTGCTGTGAAACCAAACCCCAATTATAAAGACCAAAAATTTGAAGGGCCTTTGGAAAATATATCCTTCCCGCCCTGCGACCAGGACAAGAAATTTGGTGAAAAAGAGGATCCAGATGTTAGGCTCCCCCTGCCCTTGTTCAGAAATACAACCCAGGACAGAGGCGAGTCACTGGGGGAGTAATGTGCTGAGGGCCCCCACAGTTTGCCGCAGCTGCTGGTCAGAGAAGGTCCCACTCAACACAGGAAACAAGCTCCCTGTGCAGTTGGGCTGAATGTTTCACCCAGTGGCCGAGACTCCCATCCTCCCCAGACAGCTCGTTACATGGAGCCAAGACAGAGCTGGAACGTGGCCCACAGGTACAGACAATACTGACAAGCCCCCTTGTTTTTGTCACTAATCTCATTTTAAAACAGAAGATGTGAGTCCGACTTACTATTAACCATGCACCATTAATGGCTCTATTTGATTCCGATTTGTTTTCATATTTAAGGTTTTAGTAATAAAGCTATAAGCACAGCAAATAAAGCTGAAGGTCACTCCGGGGTGCGAGTCCGTTAAGAGTCCTCACGCGTAAGCCGAATGACTGTATTCAGCGCAGCAGGAGTGTGGAAATGCCAGGCCGAGCACACTGCAGGAAGCCTGTGATGGGAGAGATCACAGTGTGTGCCCTTCTGCTGCCCTAACGGGAAGGCTCGTAGCGGGGCGCCCAGCGGCTCAGCCAGCGGAGCCTGCAACTCTCAATCGCGGGGTGGGGAGTTCGAGCCCCATGCTGGGTGTGGAGATTACTTAAAGATAAAATCTTTGGGGAAAAAAAAAAAAAGAAAAGAAAGGAAGAAAAAAGAAAGGCCTGTAGCTGAAAACAGCTAATGCTTCAAGGCAAAAAGAATTGTATAGCTATATCCCCAGTATTCTAATTTTGTAATTCAGAATTTATAAATTGCTCCTTTCAGCCGGCAGTAGAATGAAGAGTCTCGGCCAGTTCCAAGGACTGAACTTTTAAATATTTAATAAATGATATTTTAAATATTTCATCACATTCAATTGGCCTTATCAAGTATTTATAGAAACAAGTGAATGGTATTTCTGTAATCTTCCCCCCAAAAAATCACAAATAAAAGAACATGTCACCTACGTTGAGAGTCTTCACCTGATTCATTTCACCACATTCTAGATCATTAAAAAGTCCACTTGGTTTTGAATGGCACAGTCTTAATTAAAATCATGGAACAGCAAGGCGAGTAATCAGACTTTCCTTATACCTAAGTTCCATCTGGGGACACACCTATGATTTTAGGACACGGCTAGTCTTGTGGCTGTGGTAGATTTTATTTTATTTTATTAAAGATTTACTTATTTATTTGAGAGAGAATGTTAGTGGAGGCAGGGGCAGAGGGAGAGGGAGAAACCCAAGCAGACTCCCCAGTGAGCACAGAGCCCATCACTGGGCTCCATCTCATGGCCCTGAGATCACAACCTGAGCCAAAATCAAGAGCCGGGTGCTTAACCGACTGAGCCACCCATTAAAATCCTAATGATTTTAATCACTAGAAATTGCCACCAATTTGAAAACCAAGAGGAGGGGCCCCTGGGTGGCTCAGTGGGTTGGGGCATCTGCCTTCGGCTTGGGTCATGATCCCAGTGTCCTGCGATCGAGCCCCACTTTGGGCTCCCTGCTTGGTGGGGAACCTGCTTCTCCCACTCCCCCTGCTTGTGTTCTCTCTCTCTCTCTCTCTTTCTCTCTCTGTGTCAAGTAAATAAACAAATAAATGAAATCTTTTTTAAAAATAAAAATCAAGAGGAAAGGAACACAACAGTCCATCTCAGGGTTAATTTCAAATAGAATACTTAGGCCTCCTTAGTACATCCCAACCCCATGGGCTGAG